GTGAGTGGTAAACTTGACAAAAAAAGCATTTCTTGTTGCTCTTTTCTTATTATTCATATTGTTTTCCTATTCAGTCATGATTCCGATGGCACAATATCTGTACCACAGATTGTGTATAATATATATGTATATATATATGTATATATATATATACACGCGGACACGCTGGTGTCTTCCGACACCAGCCATGCTTCGCAGACAACAATGATCAAAGACTTGAAGACGCCTCAGATCTTCAGACTGAGAGGGCCAAGTTTCACTACCATAGAGCAGGACGGTCCTAACTATGGCCTTGTATACACGGCCTTTCAGACGGAGGGAAACTCCCTTCTGTCACCAAAGCTGCGTAAGTTCAACAAGACAGTTCTGGCCTTTGCAATGCATGAACTGACTTCACTTTCTATGCGTCCATCGTTGCTGATGCAGCTGCCAAGATAAGTGGATTGATCAACCACCTGCAGTTCCACGTTAGCAAGTGTCAAGAGCTCATAAAGTGCATGGTGGTCCTGCAGCAACACTTTGAAGGTGCGAAGTGCATATCAAATAATGGGACCACTCTAGACAGGTTATCCAGGGTTGCTTATGCCACCGCATCATCGTCGAAAAGCAAGACGATATCGTCCGCATAATCAAGATCAACTAACCTTTCGCCAGGGAGCACTTCAACGCCTACATCGTGAGATTCCGGTAGGGAACACTACATGATAGAGTCTACGACGAAATTGAACAACGTGGAAATCGGACAACCCCGAAGAACGTCACTTCTGGTTGGAAAGCTGTCTGACAGTTCACCGTAGACTCTGACGTGGCCTGTAGTGTTCGAGTATAGAGCACATCGGATGTTCTCATCATCATCATCATCATCATTATACACGTTAGCTGCAGGTGAAAGAACACCTCACCACCACACCGCAATATGAAAGGCATGAAAAAAACAAGAGGCATGCCGGCTGAGTCCCCACTAACGGATGGACATCGTTCCGGAGAGTTAACAGCCAGCTGTCGTACCACAAAAAGTTATATTATGCCTAACGAATGAGATCGTGATTGGAGGGGAGGCTAAGCAGGAGGGGATGGACAAAGGAACTCACAACACAAAAGCCACTGAAGCCGGCTCTTCGCCATATCAACAAGTGTGTCAAACCAAACGTGTTCATCGTTCTTAGGACCCCAGCCAGGCAGTCGGGATGCACCAGCCGACGCCAACTTCGAAGGGAGGGTTTTCATCTCTTTCGTCCAAGTCATCGCTTGGCCTCCCCTCCTCTTCCTCCAGCCGCACCCTCGGCGCGGAAACAATGCACGTCGCGATAGCCGGTGGGCTGGCCTGCGCAACACGTGACCCAGCCATCGGAGTCTGGTGCGTGATATAATGATGCTAAGATGTTCGCGTATTTCGTGGGAACAAGTGTTTCGAACAGAATGGATCGATTGACTGAATCGAACGCACGCTTGAAATCGAGGAACAGGGATTCTCAGGCTGCGTTATGCGTGGCACTGCTCTAGCACCACGTCTTAGGCGGAAACCTGTCTGCTCTTCCCTAATCCGAGATTCCCGTTTCACGGTGAGACGACAAACGCAAATCGAAGCCAGTAATTTTGTCACAACTGGCGTTAGGCTAATACCCCTGGGGTTAAAACAGTCTGTACGACTGCCCTTCTTGTATATTGCCACTATAATCGATTCGCTCCAATTAGCCGCGACACTCCCAGATCCATTCGAATAAGGAGGTCAGTGCTTTGCAGAGGACCTCACCTCCATCCTGAAATAGTGCAGGTAGGAGGGAATCCGGGCCAGCGGCACGAAAACGATTGAGAGCTGTGATCGCGTTTCGGACCTTGGCCTCCGACGGAGGCTCTAAACTAACCGTCCATGGCTCGTCCTGCATCACCTGAGTAGGAAGAGGTCCGGGAGCAGGATTGAGGCTGGGCTAACTGGGATATAGCACGACCAAACTTTCACTGCCACGCAGGTTACTACCTTAGTAGATGACAGTGGCTAGCTTCCGAAGGTCATGACTTCCTCTCACTGGACACTACGTCCATAGCATTTGAAACATGCGTTGAAACATGCGCCGCACCACCTGGTGCAACCCGCGTAGTTTGTGGAGGAAGTGCCGGCTAACTTGAAGGATGGCCTTGTGCGGCCACTATGCAAGAGCAAAGGGAGCAAGTAATGTGCCACGAATTATCGTTATATCAACTTGCTGATTTGTGTGGGGAAAATGATTGCCTGAATTCTGATCAACCGCCTCGTCACTTAGGTCGTTGAACCGCACGTGGCAAAGAGCAGTGAAGCGACTAGTTCTATGGACGAGGCCTCTAGTAAAGCATCCAGAAGACAATCACGACGTTAAAACTGTAGAGACATCTAACTACAGAGCGATAGTATAAGTATAAGCAATGTACTACACGAACAGACCCCCGAGTGTTAGGCGAAACAATAGAGTTCCATCTTCAAAACTCGGAGCACATAAAGAGACTGGACTGCCTCAAGCACTGCTAATACTGTACCCAATACCCTTCCAACCAAGTTAGCTATAAAACAAGGACCCAATATATGCTTCATTCTCCCTCCCTATTTCACCACTTTTTTCTCGAAGTGTGTGATTAGGTCCTTGCTTTATAACTAACTTGGTTGGAAATGTTGTTTTCGGCACATTATTAACGATGCTTGAGGCAGTCCAGCCTCTCGATTTGCTCCGTGGTTCGAAGATGGATCACTGTTTCGCTCAACACTTGGGAGTCTGTTCGTGTATTACATTGCCCAGACGTCTATCATCGCTCTCTATTTGTATGCTCCTACAGTTATAACGTCGTGGTTGTCCCACGAATGCTTTACTAGGAGCAACCGCGGTTCCGCTGCATAATGCACCCTTTGATTGAGGCACTGATGCTTTTCGCAGTGCATTTCATGGTGCCATCAATTTTGAATAGCAATTCGTTGCAGGTTTCTCCCATTTTATTAGCGTATTTCACCTTTTTGTCTCATCGGTACTCCTCGTTATTCACAGCGCACAAATGTCAGATTGTAGCCTATCGATTCAGTTCAGTCAAACAACTACGATTCGGGTACCGACGTGCGGTGGATCCAGTTTCTACGACTCGCGTTACTTGGATAACGGTGCATCACAATGATGAGAAAGTGAATTAAAACGCAAGCAGGATACAGCGAAAAGGGGGTTGTGATAGAGGTGATTAGAGTTAACCTGGATGGAGTACTAGCAACTACGCGCAAGAAATGGAGTGCAGAATCTCCACTGACTGTTTCCCTGCTCCATCTCCGATGTGGTTCGTTCCAGGCGTATCGAGCACTATTTACCTCTCCTTTCTGTTGTGCCCGTAGTACAATTTCTGCCTCCGCAATGAAGCAATATCCAGACCAAATAGCGTATACTGTATTGGAGAATAGTCTTCAAACTGCAAGGGCCGGTCACTGTTAGTTGCATCCCGCTAAACTAACCGTACACTGTGACCACTCGGTCGCTTCGTGAGAAGATAGCTAGATATTGGAGACAATTATCTCATTCTGATGTCTTACAGGGGCGGCCTGGCCCGTAGTCTTAAAGATCACAAGCTTGTCTTGTAATCTGAGAGTGCGGCTTCGAGTCTGCGTAGGGACGCGGTGATCCTCGCAATATCGTTAGCCTACGTAGGAGTGGTGGTGATTTCGCAGCAGCAAAGCGTCGGTACTGCGTACCGGCGTACTACTGATGCCTTTTTGTGCTAATTTCATGGGATGGTATGGTTAGATGTATTTTCAGTTAATTTCACTTACATAACCAACAACCTCGTCCAACTAGAGTTGATGTGGATTTCATGTTTATGCTGCATTACTTGTTTGAAACTGCATTGAGGTCGCATGCTTCAACGTCATCTTCAACGCTTGCAGGCAGTCACTCGTCAACTATTGCTTTCATTATGGTGTGGTTTCCGCTGACCATACGGATAATTTGCTACTATTTGTCCAATCCTAACGGAGTGATTTCTCGGATCAGAAGACAAAGAATTTTTCGGCAGAACCTCTATTGAGCTCCCCACAAAACAGTATGTGTGACCAAAAATAGGAGACGAAAATACATAGTTCACGAGTGAATGACCTCGTTGAAATCTCATGGATTCCAGCAACTACTAAATGCCTGGAAATGCGCTTATTGGCTGGCCCAAGATTGCGCTCAGTCGCAGACTTCAAGGTAGACTTTTGCTAAACTTCAAGGAGAATCGCTATCATTAGCTAACTACTTGACTTCAGGCTGCGTTGGACCAAACTTGTCCGGGCTACTCGCGAAGGACCGGCTCCGAAGGCTTTTATAAGCGGGTTCTGCTTACACATTACATCTTGCTGTGATCCATCGATTTCTCCTTCGCTTGAACTTCGTTTCAATGACCTTGCGAATCATTTCCTATAGGTTTTCGGAGAACCACATTAGAGTAGAATGGTACATATGATAATGAATACTCGACTACTTGGGCTATTATCTAACACTGCGCAATATTTAAGTCACACTGGCACTTTTAGCTCCAGTTCATCTCTTCAGCCTGTCAGTTCTTCTCATCATGATCTTTTTATTTTACACCATTCAATTGAATTTTTACTTATTCATTCTCTTCGTTAAGCTTCATTGCTATCAACTGTCTTAATCATGACATTCCGAGCCATTGGGTGTCGTCCCGCCACACCAGTTCTTGACATAGTAGTGATTTCGCACACTTCCAGCCATCTGTCTTTCACTCTACCAGAAAGAGCCGGATACAGGTGGCTTGCTACGCTGTTATTGATGCTGGGTTAAGCAGAGCAAGCAGACGCTTTATTCTGTTGGTAGTAGTCTGGTTGTTTTGTCTTCTTGTTTCAAGTACCAAAAGTCAGCATTTCCTTTGTGATTCGTCCTCTAGGGCCTTAAGTCAGTTTACCAGGAGGTGCATTCTTTATTATCGATCCCTTTCCACAAATCAGTTTTGTACTGAGTTGCGTTTTACGCTCCGACCATTGTATTTTCCCTGCAGTGCTCTCTGTCATACATGCAACGCCAAGGAGAAAGCCACCGGTTTGACTCACCTGATTTGCCATAAATGTCGAGCTTCCATTGATGCTGGACAAGAGCTCAAATATCGGTCTGAGATGTATCATGCGTATCACTTCAACTGTGCATCTTGTGGCTCAGAACTATCATCGGATGCCCGCGAACGTGAGGGAGAATTGTTCTGTCTTCGGTGTCATGATAAAATGGGTATTCCGATTTGCGGAGCTTGCAGGTAATTTGTCAAGATTTAGTTTTCCGAGTGCACATTTTTACCTAAATTTTTTTGTTAATCTACGGCCATCGTACTGTCTTCACTGTCAGCCGATTGAGTCGCCTTCACCACAGGGTATTGTGATAGCACTGTTGTGCGTGATCCCCTCGACCTACACAATCACGCATGTATTTGTCTTCCACCTGTAGCCACCAATAGTTCAGCCTATTTCACTTTCTGTTATTTCCCAGAGTATACTTGTCTATGTGGTACAATTCATGTAAACCTGATTATTCATAGATACTTCCCAGAGAAGGCACCAGGAACAGGTAGCGAACAGATTTATTTTCATTGGTTCAGAAGTCCGAACCAGAGAAAACAACTACTTGGAAACTTGGCTGTGCTCATTTACACGCATTCTAAGTCTGCACCATCAACCTTCTAGTCCAGTGGTTCCCAACCTTTTAGACGCCGTTACCCACAAAGGGGTTGCCCACCAGACTTTTACCCCCAAACTTTCGAAAGACTATTACGTAATAACTATTGCACATTTCGCTCTAAAGTTCAAAAACAAATGTCATATGTAGTTTCACGTGCTCATGCAATTGAAGGAAACACCCCTTCTCACTACATAATTATCCGACTTAAGTACGAGAAGTGATCGGTATCCGGAATCTCCCTCGACAAATAAACGAAAGAAAACAGTACTTTTAATTCAAAATTCTATGCAAACAAGAGGCGATATACATCAATGAGACGGTTGGTATTGTTTGGTGGTAACAATTTCTGGTATATTTGGTGCAGTTTCGGCCAATGCACATCGCAAGTCGTGCTCCAAGTTCATTCGATTCCTTGCTTTTGTTTTCATTACCATCATTGTCGAAAATGCACTTTCACATTTATAAGTTGTTGCAAATGGGATCAATATTCTCAATGCTCTTTCCGACAGTAATGGATACTCTTCACCTATCTTTGCCCAAAGTGTTACTAGTTGCGTGCTTTGGAAATCTACCTTCTATCCGCTGTCCTCGCGCATTCCTAGGAATTGTACCTTGATTTCGAATTCAGTATCTGGAAATATTCCTTCAGCTACTGTAAACGGTCTTAGCACCCAGGCACTTAATTGGCGAGTTTCCAAATCAGGAAAATATTTGCTGATGGAATACATCACTGATGACAAGTGGCAAGATATTTCATTCGTGAATGCGCATTTTTCATTTCTTTCAACGGGCACCGTCGTTAGTTCTGGAAATATCGCCACGTCGTCAACATCAACCGAGCGCTGGTAAAGCTGCAGTTTGCGAAGGAAACCGGCTACTCTATCCTGAGCGACTAAAATGTTCATCATATTCCCTTGCAGGCTGAGGTTAAGCGCATTGATTTATCCAAAGAAATCAGCAAGATAAGCAAGTTTCGAAATAAACACGCTGTCCGTTATAATAACGTGTAACTCGTTTCCCTTACCCTTATGCATCTCTTTTCTTCGAAGAAAGATTGCAATTTCCTCTCGAAGCTGATGCACTCGGTGCAACACCCTGCCTCGTGACAACCAACGCACTTCTATGTGCAATAGTAGCACGTCGAATTTGCCTCCAAATTCATTGCACAACTCTTTGAAGATTCTTGTGTGGGTCGCACTACCGCGGATGACATTTACTATCTTTACTACTTTGGTTAACACGTCAAGTAAAGCAGGTGGAAGAGTGCTCACTGCTAAAGCATAACGATGTATGATGCAGTGACTAAAGGTAGCGTGCGGAGCAACATTTTTGACCAATGTTTGGAATCTGGAACGGACGCCCAACATGGCTGGTGCTCCGTCTGTACAGACACCCACTAACTTCGACCACCGTAGCATGTTTTCCTCGAGGAACTTCTTTACTATTCGGAAGACATCTTCGCCACGCCTAGTCGTGCTCAAGGATTCTGAGAACAAGTACTCTTCTTTGAAGCTATCACTTTTTAGGTACCGAACATACACAAGTAGTTGGGAACAGGACGCTACGTCGGTCGACTCATCTAACTGGGTTGCAAAGAAGGGACTTGATCTTATTTCGTTGAGCACCGTGTTCAAAATTTGTTTGCTCATGTCCTCGATACGACTTTTGATGGTGTTGTTCGAAAGTGATATCATATTAATCTTCTCCGCATGATGTTCTCCAAGAACGAGCTTAACCGCATCCATTATGCAAGGTTTGATGACCTCCTCTCCTATGGTATGCGGCTCCTTGTTTTTGGCGATTCGAAGCGCAATGCGATACGAAGCTTCAAGGCCAGCCTCATTTGCCTGAGAAAAGGAGCTCGATGTATCCAGGCGCGAAAGTTTTAGCGCAGCTTCTTTCCTTCTAAAGAATGTAATATCTTTTCCTATCAAATGGGCATGGCTTCGTTCGAAGTGCTCTTTCAATTTACTAGGTTTCATACTCTCCGCCGTGAGCAATTTGCTGCACAAAGCGCATTGCGGTTTCTCAACATTTTTATCAGCGAAGTTAGTGAAGCCCCACTGCAGAAATGCTTCTTTGTAGGACCGCTTTTTTCTGGAAGACGTATTCCCTGCAAACACTTAAGTAGGTAGATGTTATAGATATATATCATTTATAGAAATTAATCTCGTTATTCCATGCAGGTGACATTATCGCAAACGTTCGCAGACAAATATATTTTTGTCGGAATCAAAGCCACTGAATGAAAATGCTCACCTGCCATGACTTCTCGTCAAAAACAACTGCTCATGAAAGTGATCAACATAACACCTAATGGTCACTGGCGTCCAGTCAGCTGATTCTATGTTGGTTGTGACCCCAATTGTATCGTTTCTCTGCCCTTTCAAACGCCTACCGTTATCCCGATTCAGGCCCTCTCTTGACCCCATCGTGTCTGATTCCTAATCAAACATGAACATGTGTTTCATTCCTCCGTTCCACGTTATTTCTCGACATTTTCCCGACACCATTCTGTATCCATACCTTGTGAACAAGAATCACCTTTTCTCGCCGTTCCTACTGTCAAACATTCACCTGTGAACATAACTGGTACTTTGACCAGTGCTGAAACGATAGTTTGCTATCCACCCCGTTATTCTACCCGGTGAACGACTGGCTTATTCGAAAACACGGCAGCAGTTGTGGCGGTCGACAAAGGCGCCATGCCGTAGTAGCTGCATTGACTGATGGCTAACTAAAAATGCTGAGCTAGTTGCGATGTGTGATTTCGTTATTAAGCTTATTTCGCGACTGATTTGTGACCAAATCCAATTATCGGTATTTACCCCTCGGAAAATGCCATTTTACCCCCTTGGGGCTAATTACCCCCAGGTTGGGAAACCCTGTTCTAGTCGAATAGGGGTCTGTGCACACATTCTTCCATTTTGAGCAAATGGTGAATTCGCTAACGAGTAGTTGGATGACAGATGATGTACGCTGGATCCATCACATCTAAACTTAGTCAGGCGACCAGCTTATAGAAGACTAAGCGCCTGCTTCGTCCGATTCCCAGTAATGACAAAGGGTTACTCAATGCTCTTACGAATATGTGATGCTAGCCTAACCCCGAGTGTAGTCGTGATGGCTTCAACTTATGTTCTGTTTCTTTTATACACTACTGAGAACACCGAGTAAATGGTCTCATCTCTCATCATTCTTGCTACTATTGAACACATGCGTTGTTTCGGCAGCCCTCTGTGTGGGTATTGGTCTTGAGTCTAACCATAGGAAATAATTCAACGTGCCGGTTTTCAAACTCTATTTTTTCTTTGTGGATTCATCTTTTGTAGTTACCTGCCTTCTAAAACCCTCATTTTCACTGCATGTTAAACAGAGGCTGACTGCCGAGACGAAAGATACAACAGTTTGCCACCCGCTTGAATGCGCTGCGTAATCTGAATCATTCCGCCATTGGTCTAATCATCCTCCTCGTCGGCCTGTAACCGCAAGGACTACATGCCCGCCTTGTAATCGCGGTCACCGATTCCAACCCACAAGGTACCGTCGACCTAACGGTATACCCTGCCCACGTGCGACTGTGGGTGGTCACATTCTACCGAATCGTCGGTACGATGTGCTGGCGTACGGTCAACGCTCTTCCTTCCTTCTATCTTCCTCATTTCTGAGTTTGAAACTAGACGGCTGCGGAACATTTTCTTTGCGCTCATGCGCCTAATCATCGGACCGTTTGATAGTTTAACCCTTCACTTTTTGACGATACAAAATTTTTTCTCCAACCCCACCGCGACAAGACTGGACCTTAACGTTTTGCGATGGTTTGTGTGCCTCAATAATCCATCGAGTTATGCTGGATGGTACTTTGTGCACCTTCAGAGCCACTCATACCAGATTGCTCAATGGTTAGAGACTAGTCAAATTCAATCTCCTGACCACCCCCAGGTTGCGGGTTAGAGTTTAGAGTAGATCCTTACTCCGTAAAACGGACTCCCTGTAGCCCAATGCCTTGCAGTCAGATTTTTAAACCAAAGGTTTTGGTTGAAAACCCTGATCGTTCTCATGTCTATGCCTGGGCAACCTGGTAGTATCCTACCCACACAATACAACACAATGATTTTCCCTTTTTATCAATCCCTTGATACTCTGGCCGGCGCAGAAGATAACCAACAGCGTCCTATCTCCTGCATTCAGCAGGGTGGATAGGGATAAGGTTGCTACTGCTCAAGCCTTCCCGTCTTCCTCTACTCCCGTTTTTCACCCTTATCGTTCTGCTCCGGCCTTACTTTTATCCCCCTGTTTTCATTCCTCCAATTCCTAGCCTTCCCCACCTTGCTTCAATTATCACTTGTATTCTAGTCTCAACTCACACACAATCGCAGAGCGTCGCTCCAGTCCAGTCGGTAAGTTCATGTCCTGCCAAACTGACAACATCAGTTCATCTGCTTCTGTTTGGAGCCCTCGGTCCTTGCTCAAACTGACAGAACGCGTGTGGTTGAACACACTTACTGACATGGCTAGGAGCCTGCTTTAGATACCACATCCAATCACGATCTCAAAGCAAACAAATAATATGATATTTAACGTTATCTTACTTGATTTTTAAATTTTTTTACAGTGTACTTTTTAGAATCCTATCTTTTACGGCAAATTAGCTAAGTCTTGTTTCTCACCCTCAGCTAACGTGTACTGATGATGATGATTCCGCAACCATTCTAACCACCGTTTTGCGACGCTGTCTCACATTTCGAAACTAGACCTCTATACTAGTTTTCCGCCAATACTATACCCGTAGTTTGTAGCGCAAGAACTATTGATGTTAACTTCCTCACGTACTTAGTACATTCAACCGTACTCTATTGCCAATATGATCACCCTCGTTGTACGCACTCTTCAGTTAATTTTAAACGTCTATTGGTTGTATTTCCAGCCCAGTGAAGACGACCGTATCTCAGTGCGATCTGAACGCGTTCTCAGTTTACCTGTGAAATGTTCATCACAACTACCGACACATTTCTTTATACTGTGTATGGCTGATTCATCTGTGTTCCATTTAATTGGCTGGTATACAATCACTTTGCTGTCCATTTCGCTCGTGCTCCGTACTCGACCCACTTACCTACTACAGTTCTGCCTAGAGACTGACTTGTTAAGCTTGTCATTCATTGGTCGATGACAGTCTCAAAACCGTTCTTTTGGTTAGCTCGGATTGGTGTACCGTAGTCCGACGACTGAGGTTTCCTCACGGACGGTGTGACCAAATATTAGCGAAAATGCACCCAAGAGCAGATAGTCACCGGGACAGTGACGATCCCCAATCGATATATGGAATGACTTTTACTCGGAAATGATTACCTGGGTTTAAAACTTCGGCCTTCTCAATGTAATAACATTGCGAAGAGCTTCTGGTAGATTGCTTGGTCTGCTCAAAGACACCACAACATCACCTAAACATTCTGTGGTTTCACCAAAACTGACGCGGTATCGATGTTCCTCTTGATGCGCGTTAATACATCCTCTGGTATGTCAAGACGTGCCCAATTAGCACAGGCAATTTTAGTTCAATAACTAGTCCTGCTTAGCGCCAATTGACGGACATCAGCAGGACGTTGGTACGCAGTACCGACGCTTCGCTGTCTCGCAACTCTCACCGGTCGCACGTGGGCAAAGGATACTACCAGGATCACCCTGCCCCTACGCAACCTCGAACCCATGCCGTCAGATTACAAGACAATCTCGTTGCCTTTAGACTACTGACCGGCATTACTAGGGGATCCTACAGGATGTGAGTGACGGTTTGTAGACACCAGCGGTCGCAGAGGAGTAGGCTTCCAATTATTTCAACATGCAGTGACCACATTCCTGGTTTCAACAGCGACACTCAACGCTTGACTCGTAATCAAATACCATGTCGCTCCGTCGTTGTTTGTTGTGACCTTTCGGAGTTCCAGCCTCCATGCCATATGAATCGGTCAATCGCTTTCACTAGCTGTTCCCTACTAACTAGTTCAGAGACGTCTCGCAAGCTTCACTTTGAAGATTCCGGACGCATGTCAAATTGGGTAATGGTTGTTTTGCAGTTGGTTCTAACTGCATGCTCACGCACTTTAAAATTTTCTGTTGATCAATTGACAGGATTTCCACTCTAAAAATAAACCAATATGTGACCTTCAGTGAGATTCTATTCACAAAGTTGAAGCGAAAAGAAATAGTGCAATCCGGCGCACCACAACTGTCTTGCTCTCTCACAGTCTCGTTTTGCTCCTCAGAAGTGGCGTTGCATCTACCTCTTTAACTTGCAAAGAATCTTTCTTACCCCCCAACGATACATTATGCTACTTAGAAGGCAATCGTAGCTGGTGGTCTCCACACGTGATGATCTTCGTGCATTCGGTAAAGGGTAGCTTTATGTTCATTGTGCCCTTCACTGGGATGCAATTCGGTTTAGTGTTCACTGATTCGATTTTGACGATGCTCGTTAGACGGCCGGTATGCTAGTGTGCGCACTTTTAAGTCGTCTATGCATTCAGCATCACAGAATTTTTCGCCTAACGTTCTGCACCTCACTTTGACGAGGTTCGTGACGCCTACCACCCGAAACGCGTACGCCCAACGTCGTGGAATAGCGCGACTGTTGTATTAACGTTTCAGTAACGACTGAGCAAGGTCGTCGGCTCCTAACGCTTTCTTCCAATTTAATCTCATCATCTTATTTGATGTCTCCTCGACGGCCGTTAGATCTGCGGTCTGGCTGACTCAGTGAATAATGGCGAAACGCTAGTTTACTGTACTGCTCAACAGTTTAGCCAAGACACTCTCCGGGTTTCTTATGTCCCTCCATACTCCGCACTCTTTCTTAAACTCGTGGTTAGGGCCAGCGTAAGCCACAGCTGATCAAGACTGACAGTTGTTTGAATACGCGTTCTATTCGGCATCTCATAGTCTATATGTCTTACTGAGATTTCGATCTATCAGTTGACTGCATTTGTAACCAATTCGAGTTAACAATGCGTAACTATTCAGGCATCTCACTTCGTTTACCAAAATATTTATTTTGCTGGATATCGGCCATTTATCCGCCATCATTGGCGAACTATCTGTGATGGAGTAAGCTCACTTTAAGACCGTGCGCCATGCCCTTGACAGACGTGTTTTGCGGTAAGTCTGGGCGTCGTTTACTGCCTGAGCCACAATCCACAAACCATTTGGACGCTTTCAACTACAACTGTGCTGTTACGTATTGGTAATAATTATCTTTGGATTTAGTGGAGTCCTTGCATCCAGAGAGAAGCCTGCCATGTCACATAATTACGGTTCCCTGCAACTATAAGCTTCGAAAAGCCCCGCTTCACTTCATACCACAAGTTGCAGATATGAAATCGATGTCGTCATTCCACCTAACTTAATCACTTGTTAATCACTGCGCCGAAACTCCTCGTCTCACCATATGCAAACACCTGAAATGTGGTAGAGGGTAACTTACTGCCTCTTCCACACCAGCGGTCCTTGCAACGAACCTGTTTCTGGTCTGCCCAAGTCAAATCGCGTGTTCTCGATCACCTGGGTCGGTGCCCCGGCGTATTTCGTAGCGAGTTCAATATACAATTCTACTGCGGTTGTACATCCGAATTCAATAACGCACTGACATCCACGCTAAAACCATCAAGCGTCACAGCTTCCGCAGGTCAAACTTTCCGCTTCACTCTTCTTACGAGTGCAAGACAACTTCAGCATAGAAACCAATGAGACAAGCCTTATTTCACCGATTGGTTGCTTGGTCATACAACAAATCAACTGGAAAACGGAGTACATCTTCCAAACAAAGCTAATTCGCGGCGTGCGGCCAACAAACGATGGGAATGTATTCATTTGCGTTGGTATCATCACAATCTCGCTCCAATTTTTGTAGTTTTTTGCATTTGTTCAACCTCGTTTTTTCCTGACATCACCTTGCATTTACTACTCCCCAGACGTCCCATTGAGGAACGCGTGGTTCACGCACTTGGGAAAACTTGGCACGTCGAACATTTCGTTTGCGCACGTTGTGAAAAACCCTTCTTGGGCTCCAGACACTATGAAAAGAAGGGATTAGCCTATTGTGAGCTGCATTATCAACTACTATTCGGCATGCTTTGTTATTCATGCAATCAAGTGATTGCGGACGAAACAGTATATGCCCTGAACAAAGCATGGTGTGTGGAACATTTTGCTTGCAGCGTCTGCGACCGCCGTCTGAGTCCAAAGTGAGTGCGTTTTTCTTTGAGTTCGTTCTTCGACCTTCGTGTTCAACTGTTGTACTTCCGAGCTTAAGGCCGTCATTGTATTTGAATTCTCGTCTGAATGCGACCACCCCTTTTATCGCTTACATCATGTCTGATTGGATCGTTTTGCGCTGCTTTCTTGGTACTCCTTGAGTAGCTGGATAGTATTCGTAGTTGAAACTGCTGCTTTTCTCCATGTATGAAGAACGTGAATAACTGTCGCAAGCGTTTCGTCGCTGAGCTACGATCCATTGCCACGAGGGACGGAATTGCGTTCATCCTATCAGAGCTTTGGGGTTCCATAGAGGTTTGACTATCCACAAGTGATTGTATTGTCTCACTGGTCTCATACCACCGAGATACATATCCTCAGTGAGTCAACGGTTTTCTGGGTATGTGATGATGAGTCAACCACGATTCAGAATGTGTTTAATGGATGTTCACTCCTAAGCACTGCATCACCCCTGCTTCTCACATATTGGGGGCAGTCCAACTAAATGGGTTCTCGCGTGCGTGTGTCGCATTCTGTCTGTCCACTTGTCACAAATTTGCTCTCCGGCGCTCTTCATTCCCAAGGTCACGCAGCTATGTGATAAAAGTAACTCAGCAACCGCAGTCATCTACACCATTTCTCAATTGATTTTTTTCTTAGCACATTTACTTGCATCCGTAATGCAGCAGTTTTCAGCGTTAGCGCAAAGACTAGAATCCGTTAGTCACGAAATTTGCATCCACAACGCCATGAGTGGTCACCCGCCATCAGCCCATAGTGAGGTGGCCATACGTCCCGGTTTAGGCGGGACGGTCCCGCATTCCATGCTGTCGTCCCGCTATTTTAGGAATGCTGTGTGGGACGCGCTAATGTCCCACTATGAGGTCGGTGACCTCAGAATATCCCGCTTTGAGCATGTAGAATGTAGGTGAAAAGAAACCAAAACCAATAGGCGGCGGTGCGTGCACACCGAAAAACCGAACTAAGTGGGCGGGCATGAATTAGGCGGGATAGTAGACTGCGTGGGTGAGCAACGCAGCAAGGTGCTTTTTACGACAATATAAAAAGAGGAAAGATAAACGACGATGAACATTTTGTCTTATTGGAGAACGCCTTCATTAGGTGCAGTTTGGTGGGCAAAACCTGTATAAACGAACGTGTAATATGACTACGCAATCGGAGAGTGATTTTTCATTCATCAAGAAGACAACATACGTCAATGATTCTCATGTTGGGTGTGGCACATGCAAATCCGAATTTTCTATTGCTCACAATGACAGATCTGGTATCACGAAGCACCCAAAATCGAGTCGCCATAAGGTAGCAATGTTTGCGGCAACATTTTCTACCCCTGTAACAAATTATTTCCGTTTAACAACATTTGGAAACATTAAAGTCAATTAGAAGCCTCAGAAGCTTCCTTCGCCAATCTGTATTTCATAACGACTGTTTCCACTCCATGAATTGCATCGACAAGTAGGTAGCGAAATTGTTTGCGCCGAAGGTTGCTTGCGCCCGCAAAAATGTGCGGCAATAATAACCAATATCCTGTTCCAAATTGCCAGCGACCAACCAAGAGAAACTAAAAAAAGCAACATTCGTGTCAATATTCACAGACGCCTTAAATCACTAGGACGTAGTGTTCTCACTCATTGTCAGATATTTTATACCTTCATAGGTATTGTAGTGAACTTAGTAGATCTGCAGTAACACATTGGACACCATTTATGAATTTGTAAAGTATTTGTTAGAACAAATTAATATGACCAGAAATACTAGAAGTTTGTACTGACAACGCCAACACAAATCTCGGTGGCGTTCAGAGAAGAGGACAAAACAATGTTTTGCGAAATCGAACTCTTCATTTAGAGCAACATGTGGGAATTGGACCACATTGTCCATGGCACATTGCAAACGCCATTGGACTGTCGTCCTATTGATTTTGAAACAGTTGTGGTGAAAATATCTTCTTACTTTACATTTACACTGTTTGCGTTGAAGGATAAAAGTAATTCTGTAACTGCAATGGTAGATTACAAACTCTTGCTATGATACCGGAAAACCAGATAGCTTTCACTTATGCCAACAGTGGAGAGAATCCTAAAGCTTTTTTTCGTTGAAATCCTATTTTTATCTCGACGGAAGTGTCCTACACTATTACGATCTTTGTTAAGAAATCCCTGCACTGCGCTGTAGCTCTTCCTTATACATAATCTCTCTGCAGTTTTCACGCTACTGTACTAAAATTGAGGAACCAAATCTCGGCACTGGAAATGTCGTCTACAATGTACACACTCCTGCAGAAGTGCAGAGATAGGGACAGAAACAGCTTTGCTTCGAAGGAGGCAAATATCCGAATCGCCCAGCTAGAACAAGCGGGTCTGTTGTAACGCTGGTTTTCCCTCTGCTCTTTGCACTGCCACGCAAACCCAGCCGGGGTAAATCAGAACGCCGAGCCTGCTAGACACAGAACATGGTTACTTTTATAGGTCACACGCTGTTACCTCGCTTGTCTGTCACCGAAGTGAATCACATCTCTTGTCTGAACAGATTCCACCCTAGTAGCGGCCTTCACTTTCTGACTGTAGGTAAGATCACGTCTACACCATAGCAACCATGCGATGATGACGATTTGTTCTCATCAGCTTCCAGCGTGACTCAGTCCTGGTACAACCGGTCAGGTAGTAACCCGTATCATCCAGACAGCCGTCTCGAAATCGTGTCATGTTCTGCGGCCTGCTAGAGTGCACCGTCGTAGTCTGCCGTCTCGCTTCCGTTACAGGGTCTCAGGAAAAACGGATCTGATGAATAATATTACCAGCTTCTGCGATAATTGCATCGATCAGCAACAGGAAAGAATGAACCGGTTTCAAGAACTGAATGTCTCAAGTTGTGGGGAGCAAAAATTGGCGACAGAGTAGACACACGTGTGATCAAACTGAAATCATTGACACTTGATGTTTTGCTACACAGACCTCAGTCATCTACTCGTCTGAGTGCGCACCAGCATTGGACAATACCGGGTGTGAAAGCAGGTACTTGTTCACTAACTGGTGTCCGCCGGTGGCCAAATGGTCTGCACTCAGGAGGTCACCGGTTCGAATCCGCGTAGGAGTAGGCGTCCTCGCGGTATACCTAGCCCGCGCGCGGCTGGTTGTGGTCGAGCGTCAGCGAAGCACCGTTGCGGCGCACAGCTGACACATCATTATTATTTTCACGAACTGGTCCCAAACCCCAAAGCCTAGGATGTGAAGGAAGTCAGCACAGTTCAGGAGAAAAGCCCGCTTTCACCCCTCTTATTTTCCACTACTGGTGTGCTCCTAATTGAGCAGATAGCTGAGATCCTTGTAACGAGACGCCGATGAGTTCAGTTTGACCACACATGTGTCTACTACCTTGTGTGGGTTTAGCTTAAGTTTTGCCAATTTTTGCTGCTCCCCCCCCCCGAAGCGCGATGGCTATATGCTTAAGTTGCGTCTATGTTAAACAGCCATGCCTGACCTATGGTCCGAATGCTATTGGCTGATAGCGATTGATCACTCAGGGCGTTGTGTGTGCAAATTTTGTGACTTACGGATGATAGTTTTTGCGCTAACGATGCAAGCTGCTGCACTACGGATGCAAGGGAATGCGTTAAGGATGCAGTCAACAAAGAAATAGTATAGACTTCATAGCGAAGGTGGCGGAAATCCATCCATCAGTTGTTCGTCAAAGTTCACGGAAAGGAGGAACGATAAAGCAAGACAATCACCGTAAGGTAGTGAGACAATGGAACTTGTCAAAACTCAGTCACTGAACATACTAATAAAACCCGATTGCCGAGCGAAAGGATTTACACTGTTAACGACCACCAAACAGACCAGTATTTTTAGCAATCCGAAATTCCCGTCTACTATTATGCATCAGTGCTGAGTTAAGAGTTTTTCCCGTAAATCTCTTCAGACTTAAACATTTCATGGCAGGGGTTACATGGTAAATGTGCCAAGCTGGGCTGAATATTTATAGGAATGTTGAATTCAACGGCAGAATCGATACATCTTGTGACCAATCAAAGGTTAACAGGGATAAAAATCAACTCGATTGATTATGTACGATAAGATGTGAGCCACGGTGTACGAATTGCTTCTGTGCACACAGCTCCGGCTTGAGGTGGCGGATATAGATAGCTTCAGCAATAGCTCTTCGAGTTCGGTCACGCAGGTTCTGAAAAGGATTCCATAGTTATCTATTCCATTCCTGAGAAATTCTCGCTCAGACTCCGTAAACATCTATCTGTTTCTGAAGCTATTTATATCCGCCATCACAAGCCGGAGCTGTGCGTATAGAACCAGTTCGTGCGCCAGTTAATTTTGCATTCGCCTACCTTTTTCGGCACATGATCATCCGGTTTGATTATTGCCCTGTTAACCTTTGATGGGTAGTGAAAATACTGTACCAAATTACCTTTCTCTTACACTCAATCTACCACATTCAGTAACATCGTACTTTATCGATTCGGCCGTTAAATTTAACATCCTAATCCATATTCAGCCCAACTCGGCACATTTACCATGTAACCTCTATCATGCAAATATATGAGTCTGCTGCGATTTATCGTGGAGAATTTTTACTTCAACACCAATTCATATTATCAAGTTGGAATTTCCGGATTGTTAAAGATAAGCATTCCCTGTGGTTCATACATGACCCTGATGAGTCTGACGTGCAGACCAGTTTAACCGTTGCACAACTAAAAGCCGTTTTCTTAAATGCTAACTACAAATCTTCGGTATCACTTCAGGGCGTAAGAACAGTATTTCGCAGGCACTGATGTTAAGCCTCTTTTTAGTTTCCAGCCTACATTTGCTATCTTTCTGGTCTTCAGCAGACTTGTACATTATGATCCCTACCAAATGACTGACACATTGCGATCTCTGATAGTACCTAACATTTCGAAGTTACACCGGTGTCAGACTGCAGTTGTACGAATGCCGGAAGCATTCGATAATCA